TATTCATTGAATTTAGCAAATAAATAGCTTTATTTTAATTTATTTTATAATAATACGTGGAGGCCCAATATTAAGCCCAAGCCCAATGTGAGGGCTTATGGGCCTATGGGCCAACCAAAGGACTATGGCCCATCGTGAAACTATGAGATTTTAATTTTTAAAAAAGTAAAAATTATGGTTGACTTTGTTCGGTTAAGTCAACCCAACCCAACCAACGAGTTACAATGTCTGTAATCAATCGACATTTGACTTTTATAAAATTTTAATTATTAATATAACATGTAGAGTAGATAAGTAGAATTTTTTTAAAATAATAATTCGACGACCCGATTGGATTGGCTTTATATCGAGTATAGTATAAAATAAAATAAAAATAAAAAAATATTGGAAGTGATGAAGTGGAATATAAAATGAAATAAAATAAAAATAAAAATAGTGGAATTTCTTTTAATAAAAAATAGATATTGAAAGGGTAGAAGGACAAAGAAATCTGAAAAAGAGATTTAGTTTCAATATAATAAATAAAGTAAATGATTCATGCAATCACATGATGTGTCCCTTTGGATAACACCATTTGAGTTCAATTTCAAGATTTTATTTTTTATTTATTATTATTATATATTTTTCTCCTATTTATAATTCATAAAATTCAACCCAACTCACTTTTATTAAATACCCATATAAATGATACACAGAGGGAAATAGCCCACATTTTTTTTAGTAATTATTTTACATCTATTTATTTAAAATATTAAATAGGTTCGACATAGAATAGCTTAGGGACATTTTGGAACAGTCCAAACCTACGGTCAGCTCACCGTTATAAGAAATGTTTCGTTTCCATCGTTTCCATCTCTAACCGACATGGGATCTTACAATTTTGATTGAAAAATTTGCTATATTTTAACTATTGTCTACGTACGGGTTAGCTTGAGGGATGAAAAAAGTTGTGAGATCCCACATCGAAAAAATTTTAAAAAGACAATATTTACTAGCGGTGGAGTTAGACTCTTGAAAAGGACGGTGAGGGTGAATAAGTGTAAAGGTGGGGTGTTTGTAGGGCAGGTAGGAAAGGTTGGGTGTTTGTAGGGCAGGTAGCAAGATAATAGGCATGCACTAGAAGCCTCAGAAGAAACAAGCCTCTCTACCACAGAAAGGTCCGAAGTTTTGAGGGGTACCCCACAGATAGAAAGAGTTGAGGAGAGGGTGGGCTTAATAGGCACATAAGTTTGCAAGTACATGGGCGTAGTTGTTTGACTAGCGTCCCATATTGTTCCCTCTTTCATCAATTATCAATAACCCACCTGAAGAACTAGGTCACTTCTTCCTCACACCGTCCACTCAAAGCTTTTTTTATTATTATTATTATTATTATTATTCTCGTCTCCCACTAACCGAGATAGATATTTTCTTATTCCCTCCTCCATTCTGTATATAAACGAAGATTTTTTACCCCATTTGAATCGGGCCCAATAGGGTCGCTAAATAAAGATTTTTAACCGCTCTTCGTTTATAAGGGGCATAATTTAACATGAGTACAACTTTTCACTCGAGATTGAAGTTGTCATGTGAGATCCCAAATATTTCTTACGTAGGTGTGAAAACTTCTCCTTAGTAGACGCGTTTTAAAGTTGTGAGGCTGACTGCAGTACGTAACGGACCAAAGCGGGCAATATCTATCAGTGGTGAGCTTGGGCTATTACAAATAGTATCAGAGCCATACACCAAGTGGTGTGGTAACGAGGACGCTGGCCCCAAGGAGGTGAATTATGAGATCCCACATCGATTAGAGAGATGAACAAAACATTCCTTATATGGGTGTGAAAATCTCTCCCTAATAGACAGTGAGGCTGACGATGGTAGGCCAAAAACAGGCAAAATATCAACTAGCGATGGGCTTTAGCTATTACAAATAGTATCAGAGCTAGACACGGAGCGGTGTGCCAACGAGTACGTTGGGCCCCAAAATGGGTGGATTGTGAGTGTAACAGTCCAAGGCCAGCGCGGGCAGATATTGTCCTTTTTGGGCTTTCCCTCAAGACTTTAAAACACGTCTACTCAGGAGATGTTTCCACACTCTTATAAAAAGAGTATTTCGTTCTCCTCTCCAACCAATGTGGAACATCACAGCGAGATTCCACATCAATTGGAGAGGGGAACAAAACATTCCTTACAAGACTATGCAAATCTCTCATTAGTAGACACGTTTTAAAACCACGAGGCTAACAACAATACATAACGAACAATATCTACTAATCGTGAGCTTAGACTATTACACGTTAATCCGTGGTTAAATAACAATCGAGAACGCTTTAGAAGCAGAAAGCGAGAGGAAAAAAAAAAGGGGGTAGGATCTTTGTTTGAAAATTTGAAAAAAACAAGGTACGTCATGAACAAAAACGTGATGATAATGCTTTTATTGAAGACAGCCTCAAGTTGTTTTGTTTGGGTAATGAACAGTACAGTTTCAGCCTTTTTATGTCCACTTTCAATGTTCTTCCAACATCCAATCCAATCCATTATCCATTTATACTAAAACTCCCTTCTTTTTTTTTTTTTTTTTTCACCAACAAAAAACAAAAAAAAAAAACCAATCTTCCCATGGAACCCCTCACCGACCGGAACCCACTTTCCGGCGACGGCGAGGAAGACGACGAGAGGGAGCCTGCGGAGCTTTCCGACGACCGGAGCAGCCTTCTGGATCTTCAACTCTCATCCAACTCCTCCGACGCCACAACAAAGCCCAGAGTTTTCTCATGCAATTATTGCCAAAGAAAATTCTTCAGCTCCCAAGCTTTGGGCGGCCATCAAAATGCCCATAAACGGGAGAGGACTTTGGCCAAGCGGGTTCAGAGATTCGATTGGGGGGCGGCGATTCCACTCCACGGCGGCGCGTTTGATCGACGGTCCTTGGGAATTCACGCCCACTCTCAGCAAATTCAGAAGCCTGTTGGGTTTTTTAGTGGACCTGGGCCTACTTCTCAGCTGTGGCCGAGGCCTTTGTTTATGGGTCAACAGCCGGCGGTGGGGCGCCTGACGCCGGAGTTGGGCGGCCGGAATTTTGGAAGATTTGATGATGTGGCTGGGTGGCCGGCGATTGGAAGCTCAAACGCCGGTAACGAGCGGAGTAATAATGTTAGTATTGTTCATTCTCAGACCAAACAGGATCAGGATCAGACCAATTTCCTTGACTTGTCTCTCAAGCTCTAACCTTAAGCAAAATATTGTTGTTATTATTATTATTATTATTATTATTATTATTATTATTAGGTTAAATTGCTCTTATTATTATTTTTTTTTTTTTTGAGGATTTATCTATTTAATCACATATAAATTTCTTTATTTAATCCTTATTTTGTGAGAAATCATTCATGAACATTAATCGTTAAATCAAAAAATTTAGAATGAAACTAACACAATACAACGACTGGATTGATAATTTTTCTTATTTGATTTATTTCATAAAGAATTAATTACGCATTTATGAACATAGCTAAGCAATAAATTTTAATATTCTATTTTGTACTAAAAAAATTTATACAAATGAAAATTAAATGTAAATAAAGTGGAGAAATGTATTTATATATTAAATTTATAATCATTAAATAGAAGGAAAGGGGTTGAAGAAAAAATTAGATTAATTTAACTTTGTATATAAAAGTAATTAGAGATGGAAAGATTTTAATTTTTTTTTTAATTGTTGCATTAATTACAGTTTGTTAATTGGAGGGTAATTAACCAATTAGATTAATTGATTGATTTGATTATCATTTATTAACATAGACAGATCAGAAATGGCCCACGCTAATGAATGTGTTTAGATTTAATTATTTTAATTAAGGTTGTAGAATGACGATAAGATATAATTAGAAGGCAAGCACGCCACTTGCGCACATTTAATTGCATTTTATAATTTTTGTTTAATAAAAAATATTTGGGTTAGGTTGGAAAGTCATTCATTTAGTATTTTTATTTTTTTAAATTTTAAAATTTATTCTTTTATTCTAAATTTTTTTAATTTTAAACTTTTAATATATCTAATAGTTTTTTTTTTTTTAATGTTATCAGATAGAAAATAAGAAATTTTTTAAAATTCATAGTTTAAGAAATAGAATATTGAAAAATTTAAATATATTAATGAAATTTAGGAATATATTAAACTAGAAGGGTTATTCCCTATTGTAAAAAGTAATAATGGGAAGTTAAAAGGGTAAAATTGTCATATTTGAAGTAGAAATAGCGTGTAATGTGTCGCTTTCCATTGGAAAAACAAAATCCAAGGAGGATCTGCTTTTTTGTATTGTTTAATATAATAAACTCACACTTGGTTGAGTCGGTTATGCCCTTATGTGCCACCAAAAGCTAAATAAGATATTTGGATCATATTTATTCTTGTTGAATTATAATAATATCTTTTCAATTGAAATTAAATGTATTAAATTAATCCAACTTCGTTCATAAACTTCGAACAACGTGTATATTTGATCATTAAATTTTCAAGAGTGACGACAATATACTCTAGAACTTTAAATAAGTAGGATGACACAACTGTTTTGTCGAGAGAGTTCCAAGTGTATAAATGACAAGTTAGGTCAAATATTAAATATGTAAAACTGAGTTCATGCATACTTATAGTCCACCTTCGTATCTATCATAAGGCTCGAGAATTTAATTGTAATTCGTAAATGGTTTGTGCTTTCTACTATGCATTAATCTCAATTTCAACGCTCTCTATCGACATCAATACGAACATGTCTAGTTGACCAAGGGGATATGAAAATACCTCGTGCACTAAACTTCACTCAACTTTATGCCCCATATCCTATAAATTAACAATGAAGTTAAATACTCCCGAAAAAGATACCTTTCATTCTTTCCGAACACGTATAGATTTTCAAATAGGTATAAATTAGAATTATTTTAAAAAATATTGAAATCAAGATGATTATGTTGTGTTCTACAAAGCTTAAACTTGTTGCTGCCTCCTGCATAATTAACAATGCAAGTTAGAAGGGTTTGATTATGAGCATAATTCCATAGCAGAAACACAAGCATACGGGCGGTAAATCTTGGAAGAACAGTCAGATCCAGACCATGTCATGACTTCAAAAACACGTTAACATTCATGCAGACAACAAAGTCAGCACTAGACAATCCTAAATCATAAGCCCAGATGTGAAAGCAACAGAACTAACAAAGCCACCTTTCAAATCTCTGCCAATTTGAAAGCAGGAAGAAACTCAGGCTTTAAATGTAAGAAAGAAAGAACAATAAAGCGCATTTTACATTCAAGTTTGAAAACTGATGTTGAAGATGAGGGAGAAATCATAAAAGCAAGAAAATAAACATTGGGATGGATATTCAATTATGATGCCACATGCGAGGAAGAACAGAAGCCAAAAGCTACAGATGTGAACAAGATCAAAATCAAAATCAAAATCAAAATCATGATTTTACTTAGTTTCACATAATTATTATAGACATTTAGCTTTTGAAAAGCATGCTGAAGCAGTGAAAATAACACCTCTTCGCATACTAGAAGGACATGGGATGAGGAAAGCCGTGTGAATCAAAAGAAAAGGAAACAGGACATCAGTTTTTGTCTCTAATTGTTATTTGAGAACTGATTTCTACAAGTCTCACCTTTTTTCAAAAAGGGTTTTCCTTCTAACTCGACATTATTATGAGTAGCACTAGCTAGAGAAACTTGGCCACACCCTTTAACGGTTGCCATTCCCAAAATGTGAACTGTTTTGGTTTTCGTTTTCAAAGTGACTGACATTCTGAAAATTCTAAACGTTTCTTAAGGAAACATTTGAATTCTTAGTCAAATTCTAAAAAACAGGAACAAGTTCGTAAAAACTATTTTTTAGTTCGAACATTGAAATCATTTGTCAAAAGTGGATAACAAATCAACGAAACTCATGGATGAGAATAGTGTTCAACAGCTTAATTTTCAAAAACCAAAAACGTATCCTAAATCCATAATACGATTTTTGTTTCAAAAATACAATAATTGCAGTAAAGCAATAGTAGTCAAACAACATTGATAACAAACATCACAGGCAGAAAACCACATAGTTTGCACCATATAATCAGTAGTAATCTGAGGAAACAAACAATAGTGCAGTAATTTCTTGCAATGATTATACTAGGACCAATTTTCAAGACTTTTTTTTTAAGTTGTAACCATGCTTTTCCCTTTTCAGGGTGTTCTTGGCCAACTGGTAGAAAGCATTTGAAATTTACCATAGACACTAAGTTCTACCTGTTTGTAATCACTCTGACTGTCTAATTTTCCTTTACCTTTTTGTCACCTCTTTTTTCCATTAACGCAATCTCACTGACCCCATAAAGAGAAAACAACTGTACATATGTTAAAACTAATCATGATTGATGAACTATGGATAGCAATTGATTATAAAAAGGAAGAAAAACATAATCCTTGAATACCTTAAAATGGTAACAACCATGTTTGATGGTGCCAAAGAAGCGTATGATTTATCTTTCCACAAAGGTCTTGACAGTTGCCAACCATCGAATAAGTTCACATCTGTCCTTGTTCATCATATATTCATGCAAAAATACAGCAAGCTCCTTATCTATCCTCCTTTCTGCTAAGAACTCCCGAAATTCCGTCTGAATTTCGCTACTCAATTCCCTGAAGTCAACAAAAACCCAAAAAGATCATTTGTAGACAACATGAGTTGAAGAACAACAAGCTTAATCCTTAACTTTAGTTAACTTATGGCCTGTTTGGAACTATTTTCAAAGTGCAAGGTGAACCTCAAGGCAACAAACCCCTCGATCGCCTCAAGGGGAGAGGTGGCAAAACGGATATATTGAGAGCATACATTGTAAAAACATCCAAATTTCAAAGCTTTGAAGATTGATACTAAATAGAAAAACATTAAAATATCAGAAACATTCAATATAATCCGGTGTGTGACAAAGGCGCCAACAGGCACGTGAAGGCACAGTATGGCGAGTGCCTTCTTGAAGACGCTTGCGCTGACTTCAACAGAGGCGAGGTCACCCTAGGCAGCATCGCCTTGCAGAGACGCGCAACTTGGTCACCTCAAATTATTGGTTTGGAATGACTTTCTAAGTCCTGAAAAAGTGTTTATAACTGTTAAGAAAAAAGTGTTTTGAAGCACTTACCGATATTGGATAAATCATTTGAGGGATTACAACATTGTGGCTGACAATTCAATACCGGTGAATGTAAGTTAGAAAAATTTTAAACTATATTTCAAGCCTATATGGAGTAGATGAAAAGAGCAGATAGATTTTGAACTTGCACTTAGCATGGATCACTTATTAGAGGCAACATATTATGGCATCCAAATCCAGACCAAAATGGGCAGTAATCTGTTATTAACCAACAAAAGTGGCCAAGGTAGCAACAAATTCACATAAATGACAAGTAACTTTGAATTTGAGATGAGCAATACCTAAAATCAGGCCCCATATAGGGTCTTGAAAGCATTCTATCTCGCTTAAGAACATATAGTTTCTGAATCTCCAACGAATCAGGCCATGCCGAGCACACGAACTCCAAATAGTCCGAACCATCCCTCTTCGAAATGTCAACAAGCACGCTACTGTGAAGACGGAGGTCTTCTTCACCATCGATATCGTCTCCAAGTTTAGGAACAGATTTGCAGCCATCAAACATCGTCGCTTCAATTTTAATATCTTCAGTGTCACCAAATTTTCCTTTCAATGTAATCCACTGCATTCCCGGTCGGTCTTCAACCGCAAATGAATTGAACCTCATTGCAGGCTGTAAAATTCCGCAGCAGAAAAATTAAAGCAAACATTCTAAATGATAATCCAAATCTCAAATTAGGTGAAACAAATTGCAAAAAGTAGAACGAGGAAATGGATCGAAATAAGGAAGAAAACGAGTCGGCGAACCAGATGGGGAGGAGCGTAATCGGACTGGTACTCGATCTCGTTACGAAGTACTCTGAGAGTGATGGCATCGAAGGTAGATTTGGGATTGGCAGCGGAAACAAATGACCTGGTGAAGAGCGATGTTGAGATTATGGTGCTTTGTGAAGGCGAACAATGGCGCCGCCATAATCGACGAGTAAGGATTTTACTGTAGGATGATCGAATCCGCCGGTGAGCTGATCGGAAAACGCCCGCCATGAATAGAGATTCTGGCGGTAAACATATTCAGTTTCTGAGCTTCGGTCAGAATTGGAACCAATCGACGGAACAGGGTTTAGTCTCTCAGCTCCCATGTACGACGTCGTTTAGAGATTTATTAGAAATATTAAGATGCATTAGACATTTTTTTAAAATAAAAATAAAAATTTATAACTTAAAATCTTAAGATTCGGATATTTGAAACTTTTATTTGGATCTAATCTGTTTTAATTCACGGCCCATATCTAAGCTGTAGATATGGGCCTTGGGTAAACACACATGTAGCCCAAAATTCCTTTGGGTTGGGCCGGCCCATACTATCAAAACACAGCCCAATAAAGAAATTAGAAGCATTAAATAATTTTTTAATTTCAATAAATATTTTATTTCCCATCATTCTATTTTCAGTTACAACATTGATTAAATAACAATAATAACAACAAGGGTTGGGTAAGTAGGACAAATAAGGAGTGAAAAATGGTGAGGTTAAAAAAGGAGAATCTTCGCAGTAAAAAATTTTAACCTTTAAGGGGATAATGAATAGTAGCATGCTACCCAACAACCAAACATGAAGTCCAAGTATGAAAAATGTGGGCATGGCCATAGCAACATCCATGCCACGTGGCATGTCATGTTCAAATTTAACTTCACAATCCCATTATGTATTGCCAAAATGGGTTGGATTAATCGTGTCAGGATTTTGTTTTGGACTTTCCCAAAAAAAGACCTCACAACAATGGAGTTAGTATTCATTACTTATAAACTTATGATCATTCCCTAAATTAGTCGATGTGGGACATTCATCATCTAACAAATCGAGTTTCTTGTGTCATTAAAATTTTTTAAAATATTTTTCATCGAAATTTATAATTTATTGGGTATCAAGAATTCCAAATCGATGTAGCGTAGCTACTGATGTTAATATAAAATAAAATAAAAACCGACCATTCTCACGAAACCACAGCCTCAAAACGGGTGTCATCTCATAGGCATCCAAGTGACTCCATCCACACACATCCAAAAATTTCACACCATAACAAATGAAGACTCGAACACAAGATCCAACATTACTTTAGCAACAAACAAACCACCACAAATAAAAAGCACAACAAAATTAAATAATATTAAATGGAAGCGGCTACGAAACTCAAAGTAATATGGACACCTCATACCAAAATAAATGGCCTTGTTTTTTATTCATTAAATTACAATTTTACCCCTCAACTTTTCAATTTTTATTTCTCTTAAACCTTTAATTTTAAATTAAAATTAATAAATTTATTACATATCATATTAAAAATTTAATAACTTTTTTATCGAATTATTAAAATTAAAAATTTTTTAATGGAAAAAAAAAAGGGCCAAATTTTAAGGGTATCAAACGGCCAGACACCGCAAGAAAAGGCCATTTGTTAACTCCTTCACAGGCAAATTGACCCCTTTTTTTTGCACCATTTGGGGGGGAAAAATATATGATATTAAAAAAATTTAAAAAAAAGCTGTTTTTTTCTTCCTCAAACGTGTAGCGTATTTTATTCTCGACCCAACAAGGTTCAGTTCGGTTTGATTGTTGATGCAAAAACGAGTTGAAAGTTTGTCCCGATGATTCTAATAAAAAAAAAATTGACTCGAGCAAAGACTAAACGAAGCTAAATTGATATTAGGTTTAGATTTATTGAACTCGGTTCTAACTAATCTCCGAACCAACTCGAGTTCAACTCAGTGAAACCCAGATAAATTTTATAGTCAAACTCAGTTCTCAAGGTCTTTTTTTTCGGTTTGTCGTGATTTTGGTAACAAAAGGGTCACCGAATATACTTTATAGGTCGGAAAATTTGAATAATAAACAAATAAATAAATGAAATATATTATATTAATGCAATTTAAGGTGGCTCCTTTCACACACCTTCATATTCCAGCTTTAAAATATTTATTCACTTTATTCCATCACCAAATTTGGATTCCAATAGGCACTAATAATAATAATAATAATAATAATAATAAACTATATATTATATTTAATGTCACGCAAAAATACCATATGGTCCAAATTGCATGCTATGTTAAATCATTGATATAATTAGTTTATTAAAAATTTGTATGTATACTAGAATTTTGAGAAAGTGACGTGAAAATTAAAAAAATATAATTAAATTAAAGAGAATAATAATAATTATTAAACATTAATTATTCTAATAATAATTTAAAAAATACATCTGTTATTTTCCTTAAAAAAATTATAAATTTAGAATTTTAAAACGAAATGGATAAAATATAGTTTTTTTCCAATTAATTGACAGGCGAATTTGAGATTTTTGGAGGCATTCTTTTTTCAGTTATTTATTAGTTGGGGGTCATCTATCCATTATCCACATGACAATCACAAATCCCAAATTAAAAAAAAAAAAAAAAAACGTAATAAATAAATGGATTAATTTTAAAAAACAATTAATTAAATTCCATTAACATGAATGTATTATAAAGAAGGGGCAAAAAGAATTGGTGCAGGACGAGGATCGGCGTAAGAAGATTCTCTCGGCCGCCGGTGAAATCCAAGGTTCGTTGCTCGATAATTCTACGTCCCGAATCCCACCGGACAAACTTTTTTTTTTTTTTTTCTTTTTCTCTTTTGTATTTTTGTTGAAATTTGTTCTCAATTCACTGACGATTGATTTTCCATTTCTTCCTTTTGGATTTCTTAATCTTCGTTCTCTTTAACCAAATTTCTTCGGAGTGAATCTTATATGTTATGTGATTTCGATTTCAGAGAAGAAGAAGAAGAGGTGGATTTGGGGAAAATGTTCTGCAAAATTACTTTGATGTCGAAGAAGAAGAAGAGCGGAACCGTGCCGGTTTATTTGAATGTGTATGATTTAACGCCGATCAATGGCTATGCGTATTGGCTCGGACTTGGGGTTTACCATTCCGGCGTGCAAGGTTAGACAATTTATGGCGTTTTTCTGTGTTTCTTCTTCTTCTTCTTCTTCCATTTTTAGTATGTTGTTAGCAGAGGCGACGAGGATTTAGGTTTTTTTTGTAAATAATTGTCATATAAACCGAAGGTTTTTCAAATCGTTGTTTCCTTTCTTTCTTGATTCTTCATTGCGATTTTTCCCCTTCAGATCTGAGGTTGAATTCGTTCTGTTTTTGGCTGAAATTTGTGCTACTTGAGAAACTGGAGGAACATGGAGATTGTATTATGGCTGTGCTGTGAAATTTTCTGTTTCTGGTTGTGTATTTATCTCTATGAGCTAATTGTTCAGTTTATGGAAAGATGATTCTGTAATGGCTAGCTTGATTTGGCTGAGAAATTGATGAGTTCCTGCATATTTCTTTGTTTCTGATTGCTTATATGATTTTCTATTGATATCTATATCGTTTGTGTTTGGCCTTTTCTGAGTTTTTTTTGATGACTCAAGCAGTCAATGTTAGTGTATCCAGTTTTTTTAATGTATTTTATCAAGAACAGGCTGTTCAAAGCTCACATATCTCATTGGGGTGAACCTTTTTTTGCAGTTCATGGAGTTGAATATGCATTTGGAGCACATGAACGTGCAACTTCAGGGATATTTGAGGTAGAACCAAGACAATGTCCTGGTTTTACGTTTAGGAAATCAATTTGTATCGGAAGAACGAATCTAGATCAGAAAGATGTTCGCTCGTTTATGGAGAAAGTAGCCGAAGAGTACTCCGGGAACACTTATCATCTCATAACGAAAAATTGCAACCATTTTTGCAATGATGTATGCTTAAGGTTGGTAGGGAAACCAATTCCTAGCTGGGTTAACCGTCTTGCTCGACTTGGTAAGATCGTCGATTATACTCCCAGATGACTGTTTTCTTTTCCATAATCCTGCTTGTTCTTGCTGTGACATAGAATCCTAGTTTACAAACAAATTTGTGTTTCTATGCCTGATCTTATGTGACTTTTGTCTTCCCCTGCATAATTAGGAGCACGACATGACTCGTGAGACGTTAATTATCTAAGTGATAATGTTACGAGCGCTTCGTTTATTCCCTCTGAGATTGGAACTTGCAACAATTTGTGATGTTATTTCGATACATTTTTCAGGTCTTTTCTGCAACTGCGTTCTTCCAGCGAGTTTGCACGAAGCGAAGGTTCGGCAAGTACGCCCAGGAGATAAGCTCAACAACAATGGTGCAAAGAAGAAATTGAAAAGCCAACCAAGTAGGTATAATGATAAACCTTCTTCTGTTTCCAATCCTCCAACTTCAACCGTCAAAGTAAGTAAACAAAAACGATGTATCCCGCCATCATCAACGGTGATTCATTCTTCACCGTCCACAACCCAAGCTGTAAAGCTGTAATAGTGACTGTTTTATAGGCCATTTAAGAGCTTAATTAACAGAAGACAGGCAAAATAACATGATTTTTTTTTGCCTTTCCACTGGTCTTCTGCTTCTACTAATCCTATAGAAAGAAAGAAAAGTTGTGGTGGAGCAGTTTTGTGTTGAAATGCAGTGTCTGTTTGTGCAGTTTGATTGAGATTTTATCATTGAAATGGTTTATAGATTGAAAAAAAATGGTGTTCTTGGGAAGTTGGAGAAGGATGTAAAGAAGAAGGATTGTATGGAAAGATGTCAACTCAAGTGGAGATGGCATTAATGGAAGTGGGTATGGTGGGGATTGGCTGGTGGAGCCTCCCTCCTCCTCCATTCACTTCTTATGGACCCAAAGTCTTCTCTCAAATATGTATATATCTTTCAATGTCGGTGGTAAAAACCAAGCTGAAATGACACCCTTCCTCTTTTCCACCTCTCGTCCTATTCGGTTTGGCTCGAGATTTACGAAGCTTATGGGTTTGAAAGGTCGGAGGTGCCTTATCGATATTTGAATTGTTCAAAAGTATTGTGTAACAGTTCAAGCCTACTTCTAGCAGATATTGTCCGTTTTTGCCTGTTACGTATTGCTATCAGACTCATGGTTTTAAAACGCGTCTGTTAGGAAAAGGTTTCCACACCTCTATAATGAATGTGTCGTTCTCTTCTTCAACCAATGTATGATCTCACATATTGATTATAGAAATTGGTGTTTGTGTCGTTTGTATGAAGTGTACGAGTTCTTAATTTGTGTTACTCATCGTTAGGATA